ATCGAGGACAAGAACTGGAGCAAGAACTGGGCCTCAGTCTAAAACGGTCGACAGGTCCAGAGGGATCTGAACCGCACCAGGACCAGGACTGAAGCAGGACTGAGACAGGACTCAATTAAATGACTCAAAGGGAGAACTAATGCATTCATTGTGGTCCTTAAACACAATGCTAATTATGTATATTTGTTATGTTTTAGAATCTGAAATATTGTCTCAAAGTGATTGTCTGGAGTTTGTCAGATAAAAGAGAGAGATACGTGATTTGAAAAAAAACGACCCGAGCTCCATCCCCCTTCCTTTCTGATTGGTCTACGCCTCCGTTTCCGTAACAATCAATCAACACATATAAATGTTAATCGGTGAACACATTATACATATACATTATTAATACACATGCACGGAAGTTTTCAGAATTATCTGTTAACTTTTTCATGACAAAAATAATGTTTTAATGCGGGAAAAAACGATCGCGGTTAACCCGGAAGTAGCTATTATCATTAATTTAACATTATAGGACACATCTGCAGAGGATATGATTATGGATGTAGGTTCAGTATATAAATGAGTACCTCAGCGCGGATGTTCAGAATTCTTTGTTCAGTTTTCAACTGAGCATGCGCGCAGCTGCGAGCATGAGCGCCGATGATTGACAGCCCTTGTCATCACTTGATTGGTTAACGTGGACGGCATCATGGATTCTGAGCTATAGCTAAGAGAAGGGAAGGGGGGACTTACCCGTAATAATAGAATTCATCAAATTACTTTTTTTATATCAACATTTAAGTCCAGGAGGTCAATTTAATACAATTCTTAAAATTTGTAGTTCATTTAGAGTTCCAGACCATCACTTTAAGAATGTGGGTTATGGTGGGTCTGTGCAGCCTGACCAGACCTGTGTAGTCCAGACAGAGAAGTGGGCGGGACTGCTAAAAACAATATCAATTCACTGGTCCCTCACGTTTTGTGTGTTCAACTGTGCATGCTTTTTTTACAGCATGCTTCTTATGCGTGGTGTGTTTACTCCAACAATTTAACTATACCTAGTATAACATGACATTTACCTATTTAAAGTCTCTTTGGTCTCTCTCTAGTCTCTTTCTCGTCTCTCTTTCACTGATCTCTCTCTCTAGACTCTCTCTATTGTCCCTCTTTCTAATCTCTCCTTCTGTTCTCTCTCTGGTCTCTCTAGGCTCTCTCTCTCTGATCTATCTCTAGTGTCTCCCCTGGTCTCTCTGGTCTCTCTTTAGTCTCTCTCTGGTCTCTCTTGTCTCTCTCTGGTCTCTGTCTAGTCTCTCTCTTGTCTCTCTAGTCTCTCTCTAGTCTCTCTCTAGTCTCTCTCTGGTCTCATAGTCTCTCTAGAGTCTATGGTCTCTCTCTGATATATCTCCAGTCTCTCTCCTGGTCTCTCTGGATTTTGTCCTGGTCTCTCTCTGGTCTCTCTGGTCCCTCTCTCTTATCTCTCCCTCTGTTCTCAGTGGTCTCTCTCCAATCGCTCTTTGTGAGTTCAGGTGGTTAGAAAGTTTGTGTGAGGGGTTTTTCAGCCTTAAAACATGCAGCTGCTACTTCCAGGATTTAATTTATTGTGGGTTATTTTTATGAGGATGTGCAGACACAATGTAGACAAATCATACTATTTATAGCCGTGCTGGAGAAAGGGAAGTTAATTTTCTTCTTCCAAAGGGGGACCTGGCAGAACATCCAATCAGAGACCCCTCCACCGTCCCTGTCCACGCCCACTTTGTACTGGGGGGAAGTGGGTGTGTCCTCATCAGAACATCTCCAAATCTGTTTTTTACTGAGATCTTCTTTATACAGAAGGGTCAGAGATATGGCTTAGGGTAAGTGCAATAAAACACTGCGCTTTGGGCAAGTGCTACTTTAGATTTTCTGAAGTGCAAGATTGCGGGGTGCTCTGTTTTGACGTCCTGTTACTAATTGTTTTCTATGGTCCTTGAGGTCTCTGATGGTGCTCTTACCTGTTTCTATTTTTGGTCTGTTTAATGTTTAATGTTTATTTTCTACTGTGGTGTTTGCAAATGTATGTGGTGTAAAGCATGTGAACCTATGTCCCAAGACAATTTTTCCCTATGGGAGACAATCATTCAATTCAATTCAATTCAATGTATTCTTGTACAGCCCTATATCACAGCAGTAGTCATTTCACAGGTCAACACAGATCAGCAAATCAACAGTTAAGAGAAACATAAAGAACACATATGAATTGGTCCATAGGGAGAGACCAATGTCCATGAATGTTGATAAATGTCCTCACATGTTGTAGAATGTTAAAGTGTCCTGGATCATCACCACAGTCCTTCTTGTTAGACACAAAAAGTCCAACAGACCCTCCTGTATCGGCAAGGAAAAACTCTAAAACTCAATGGGAGAGAAGTGAGAAACCTCAGAGGTCCACATAGAGAGAGGGATCTGCTCCACACGGACGGACCTGCTATAGATTCAGGACCTAAGCTACAGTACGAGGACCGAGGCTACGCAGCAGTGGGCGAGACTGCTAAAAACAACATCATATCAACAACAAAGGAGTATCTTATCTTATGTCTGTGCTAGAAGTGTCTGATATTAGTGTGGATGGATCTAAAAACATCTCCAGGTCTGTGACTAATGTTGGAATATGGAGAAAAGAAAGAAAATGTCCTTTCTGTGTTTGTGTGAGGCTGTTTTAAAGCCGATGACAAAGAGGTTTTCTGAGCACAAGCGGCAAGAGAGTCACAGGCAAATCTGTGTCACTGCTACACACACACAGACACAAACACACACACACACACACATAAACACACACAGACACAAACACACGCACACACACACACACATATGCGCAGACACAGACACTCAGACACACACACACACACACACACAGATGAGACCCTGCTCTCAGGCCTCAGATGTGATGTGACTTCATAAAATTGCAGTGATGGAACTGGACCTTTTTGAACTTGATGATTAAATGATTAACATGATTACTATTCCCAGCAGTCACAGACCTGAAGATGTGTTCATCTATTCATCCATGCTGATATCAGAGACTTCTGGCATAAACATGTGGCGCCGCCCCTTCTGTCTAAACGCAGCGTCTCAGTCCCCTAACAGTATACACTCAGGAGTTTTCTGCCTTTCAAACAAAAAGTAGAGAGACCAGAAAGAGCTAGCAGAATGAGACAATAGAAAGACCAGAGAGAGACAGATTTTTTCACATTCTATCTTCAACTTCTAAATACTTATACTTATACCACAGTATGTTTAATGTTTATCCATATATTTTCCTTTCATCTATCTATTTCTCATTCTAGAACACAAAATGCCACTTCCCGTCTGTTGTCTGCGTGTTTTAAATGTTTGCATCGTGAGATATGGGCGGGGATAGGTGATAGGTGAAACGGACATTTCCCGCTGGACTCAGCTGGTTTCACGAGTGCGTTGGATCGGCTCACAGTTTCATGAATATGCAGCTTTATTGTAACATTATGCAAAACGTGATGACTAATATGCAAATGAGAGTACAGTGCTTTTCAGAGCCACAATCTGGATCATTGGACGCTATTATTGTAAGAAATATACAAGAGGAAACAGGGACCACTCCAGGGAGAGACCAGAGAGAGAGGCCAGAGAGATAGAGAGAGACCAGAGAGATAGAGAGAGACCAGAGAGATAGACCAGAGAGAGACCATAGAGAGACCATAGAGAGACCAGAGAGAGAGACCAGAGAGATAGACCAGAGAGAGACCATAGAGAGAGACCAGAGAGATAGACCAGAGATAGACCAGAGAGAGACCATAGAGAGAGACCAGAGAGATAGACCAGAGATAGACCAGAGATAGACCAGAGATAGACCAGAGAGAGACCATAGAGAGAGACCAGAGAGATAGACCAGTGCGGCACGGTGGCTGAGTGGATAGCACTCTCGCCTCTCAGCAAGAAGGTCCTGGGTTCGAATCCTGGTCGGACCAGGGCCTTTCTGAGTGGAGTTTGCATGTTCGCCCTGTGTCTGCGTAGGTTTCCTCTGGATACTCCGGTTTCCCCTACCACTAAAAATATGTCCAATAGTTCTAGCATGCGCCTCCTGGACTGGCGACCCCGCTCCCATCTCTGTGTGGAGTGAGAGACAAATGCCCAAAATTAACAATTGTAAACCGCTTTGAGACTCAGATCTGCAGTGAAAAGGCGGTATATAAATAAAGATTACTTACTATTACTTACCAGAGAGAGACCAGAGAGATACTGTAGACCAGAGAGAGACCAGAGAGATACTGTAGACCAGAGATAGACCAGAGACCAGAAAGAGAAACCAGAGAGAGGCCAGAGACCAGAGAGTGACCAGGAAATGACCAGAGAGAGACTAGAGAGAGAGATTAGCAATAGACCAGAGGGGAGAGCAGAGTGGAGGTCGTGGTCTGTTAAAAGGATATTAAGTTATTGATTTAAAAGTCAAAGCTTTGCACCAAACACATCAATACTTAAAGTCGAACACATGGAGCTGGTCTCGCAAAGAACGATTCTCTGTGATTCACCAGGTTTAGTCTGCAACATTAGTGCTTCTACTCCAGGGTTATGTTTGCACCAGAGTTTATTAGTCTGATAGTTTGCAACATAACTCACAAACCTACTGTATGGGTGGATTAAAGAGGAAAGCTGGGAACAGGATGGGAACAAACTAATACATTATGGAGATCCAAATCTTGGTCTGGATCCAGTGGCCTCTTGGTGTAGGTCTGAACTCTACGGGTACTTTTTTTAAAGATTCAAATACTGATGTTTCAGGATGTAGAAAGATCTTTTTGTGATGGAGTTAAATGAAACACACGGACACTCTCTCTCACCCAGTATACATCAAAATAGGTTTAGACTGTATTTCTTTCTTCTTTTTAATGTACTGTGATTATTTTGTTAAGCACTTGTCAGTCGCCTTGTTTGTGAACTGTGCTATACAAATAAACGTTCCCTACTGCATAACTATAACAGTTTTTCTTTCATTCGTCTTCTAGGACTCGTCTTCCCTGGCTCCGAACGTCCTTCCACCCTGAGGTAAGAGGAGTTTCAGTTTTGAGGACACTTAGAACACGCACTAACCTGATTCCGGAAGAGGCCAGATGAACCAGAAAGAGACCAGAGAGAGACCAATGAGAGACCAGAGAGAGAGACCAGAGAGAGACCAGAGAGGGGTCAGAGAGAGAGACCAGTGAGAGACCAGAGAGAAACCAGAGAGAGACCAAAGAGAGAGACCCCTGTAATAGAACAGAGAGAGATCAGAGAGAGAGAGACCAGAGAGATACCAGAGAGATACTAGAGAGATACCAGAGAGATACTAGAGAGAGACCAGAGAGAGACCAAAGAGATAGAAGAAATAGAAATGTGTTGCACAAAAGATTCAGAGTTGCTCCCAAACTGGCCAGACTGTGGTCTCAGTCTACATGTGGATGTATTGAACAGAGTGGGCTTTAACTGTAACATTGGTGCAGGTGTTTGTGAGAACACTCAGAACACTCAATGACCTGGTTCTGGATCTGAAAGTGGCCTCGGGAGCTGCGGAGGCACATGGCCCACTTCAGCCCCTCGTACTTGGCCCAACCTGTCACTCCACTCTCTGGTCGCGTTAGTCTCTGCTTGGCCTGGTTTCAACAACAGTAAAAGGAGCATTTAGAAAGTCAAGCTGGGATTTTCTGGGTCCCTCGCAATACAATAATACTACAATTCTCTATGTATCACTCATGAAGCCCATTTTCCACCAGCACTATTCTACTCTACTCTACTCAGCTCTACTTGGCTCTTGTCTGATTGGGACCCTTTCCACCGGCCAGAGAGAGACTTGAGAGAGAGAAAGACTAGAGAGAGAGACTAGAGAGAGAGAGACCATAGAGGGACTAGAGAGAGAGAGACCAGAAAAATCATAGCAAGAGAGAGAGACCAGAGAGACTAGAGAGTGGGAGAAAGACCGGACAAAGAGACCAAAGAGAAACCAGAAAGAGACCAAAGAGAAACCAGAAAGAGACCAAAGCTATTGTTTAACCAGTACCAGGTCCTTCTTAGCCGTGGTTCTATATAGGCTGATATAGGCTGATCTGTTCTAAGTAGAGTAGAGTAGAGTACAGAGGAGTAGAGTAGTGCTGGTGGAAACAGGATTTAAATTCTCAATGAAATTCAATTAAATACAATGAATTGAATTGAAATCTCGTATGTGGTTAGTTTTTAAAACTTTTTCCTAACAAAATGAGTTCTGTTGTATTTAGAAAGAGAAGAAAATGTGAAATACAATAAATATGTGGTTGTTTTAAAGAGAGAATAAACTTTAAAATTAGGTATAACCATCACCTGTATTTAGATTTACGATGCAAACCCCCGAGCTTAATGAAGCCCAAAAGGGAAGTGCTCTGGCTCCTATTGACTCGCATGTAAAAGTAAACTCCTCCAGCTCAGTAATCCTTTGTGTCATACTCACCATTTTGGGTTTAAATAATCCGTGGTTTAAGACGCTCTATGATCCAATCCCACAGTATGTGACCGTTCCAGAACACATTCTTTTCCCGCGCGAGTGCTCCTTCCACAAACAGATCGATGTCTGAGTGCTGGTGCCGTCGAAGCCCCGCCGTGCAGCATACAAAAACTCTGATCACATCCAACCGGCACCAAGACGCAGCCCTAAAGGTCGCCCGCATTCTGCCTGCTTTTCATTAGAATACTCTTCTAAATGGACTTACGTCATTCTGTATCTGTATTCAAAGTTCATTGCTCTGAGGATCCCCGTTCATTAATCTCAATTCCTGACACGCACATGAGTCAGCAGTGTCACTCAGGCATTTTGGCACAAATGTAAACAGATCTGGACTGAGGCTGTCGATCCTGGGCTGTTCGGTGATCAGGTCCCAACCAACATCAGAACAAGGACTAAGACTCAGCCCAAGACCAGACCCAAGACCAGACCAAAGACCAGACTCTAACCAAACCCAAGACCAGACCAAAGAGCGGACATGGAAAAAAATCAGGCCCAAAACCTGACTCAGACCAAAATCAGATCTAAAACCATGAACTTTGTTACAATTTTTGTTTCATGTGGATTTTAGTAAGACCAGAAGCAGACTTTTGACACTTTTGACACAATAGTAACCAGGAAAGGTGTTTCTGGTGCGCTCCACCACTATTAATAAAAACCACAATCAATTTAAATGTATCAATTTAAAAAAGGATATTATCAATTTATAATTTCAGTCTTGTCCCCTGTCCCCTGTATTTAGACATGTATCAAATCAGCAGCTTTGAACATACCAGTAGAGTATGGTATGGTACTTATCAGTAGAGTGTGATGCCCCTCCACTGCCACCAGGGGGTGTGGTTTACTGACCTTATGAACCCACATGGTCCTGCTTTAATATCACTTTGTTCAGTGAGGCAGCGGTTTGTCCTTTCAGTCAAACACATGTAGGCAGCTAGCCCCTGCGCTGTTAGCGTAGCTGCTAATCCCGACCGGAGCTTAAATATCAAATAAATCCCCAAAGCCCTTTAAAGCTGCACATGCGGGAGGGCATCCGGGTGAAAGCAGAGTTCAGAAACAAAACTCGTCGCTTTGAAGCCGGTGTAGCACTCTAAGCCTGGTCCTAGTATCTTCATAGACAGTACTATTCTATTCTACTCTACCTTACCCTGGACTACCCTGCCCTACCCTACCCTACCCTGCCCTTCCCTGCCCTACCCAACCCTACCATACCCTGCCCTACCCTGCTGTACTCTACCCTACACTACACTACCTGACTCTACTCCACTCTACTCAGCTCTGGTCTGCTCTGCTCTACACTACCATACTCTTCTCTACTCTACTATTTTATCCCCTGATTGGTTAGTGTTTCCACATGCCCTGTTTAACCAGTACCAGGTCCTTCTTTAGTCCCTCTTGACCCTGGTTCTATCCAGGCCGAGCTGGTTCTAACTAGGGCTGTCAAAATTATCGCGTTAACGCACATTAATTAATTGTTGTCATTAATCGCGTTTTAAAAATTAATGCATTTGACGAATGACCCGCCCATGCATCCCATAATAACACTCTGAATGCCACGAACACAAATGCACTTGCTGTTGTTTGCTATGAACTGAAAGGGAGTCTGTATCCTCCATGGCCGCAGCGTTGTAACCCGGGGCAGCTGCGGCCGCTCTGGACAGAGGTTCCCACCTCCAGCGGCTGTGAGCTGGTCATATCCATGATCAAACACGCCACAGAACAATTCTCTGCTTGTTGTGTGCGTGTCCCAATCCAGATGGTTTTGAGGTGAGCTGGACCACAGAGTGAAGGCGAAAGGGACAGCAAGTGCTAAGCATCTGTGGGAATTTCTTTAAGACTGTTGGAAGACCATTTCAGGTCACTAACTCTTGAAGCTCATCAAGAGAATGCCAAGAGTGTTCGAAGCAGGAATGGGAACAAAAGGTGCTACTTTGAGGAACCTACAATGTAAGACATATTTTCAGTTTTTTCATACTTTTTTTAAAGTACGTACATAATTCCACATGATGCCTTCAGTGTGAATCTACAATTTTCATAATGATGAAAATAAAGAAAACTCTGAATGAGAGGCTGTGTCCAAACTTTTGGTCTGTACTGTACACTATGTTGTCATTTATCTTTCCATTCAAACAACCATTTACAGAAAAATATGGCATTGTTTTGCCGATAGTTCGAAATGCGATTAATTACGATTAATTATTTTTAAAGCTGTAATTAACTCGATTAAAATTGACAGCCCTTGTTCTAACTAACAGTGATTGGCCAGAGTACTGCTCTAACTTCAATCTTACTTCAGATATCAAAGTTATTTTAAATAGATTTTTCCCAGTAAGTAAATATTACTCATTTAATGTTAGTTTATTTAAAGCTTGGCTGTATCACCCTCGGTGTTCATGACAGAGCGGCACGGTGGCTGAGTGGGTAGCACTTTTAATTCAACTAAGTTGAATAAGTAATTCAACTTAGTTGAATTATTACTTACTTAATACTTGGTAATATCAAGTAAAGGATGTACTCGAGGAATTCAAGTGAAATTAATGTGCAATTTATTTCCGAGGTTTTTTCAAGTAGACTTTACTTGTCAGGGTTTACAGTGTGGAAGACATGGTTACCATGGAATTTGGTATCTTGTTTGTTAAGTGTAGGCTGCTGGGATACAGTACCATATACCAAACACAACCAGGTGGGGTAGAGTTGAGTAGAGCTGGTGAAAACATGGCTTAGGCCTGGTCCCAGTATTCCCCACCTGCAGGTGAAAGCCGGATCCCGTCAGACCTCTGAAGCTAAGTAAGATAGGCCCCGGTAAGTAATGGGGTGGGAACACCAGGTGCCACAGTGGGGCAGCTGTGGCTGTGAAGTGCCAAACTGTTGTGTCTGTGAATGGTTGGTGGTGGGGCCGATGGCACATACTGGTTGCCTCGCTTTTGTCACTGTGCCCCAGGGCAGCTGTGGCTACAGTAGTGGTTTATCACTACTCAGACCACGATTCCTCTCCGCTCCAGTCTGGACCAGTGCAAAACCATGAACACTGTACTGCAGCAACATCTCAGGAAGAAAACTAACAATTGTAAAACAACACCTGTTTCAGAGCTACTTAGGACTTGCTGCTGTTTCCAGCGCTTTCAAAAGTAAACTTTTTAGCACATTAGTAAGTAAGTAATCTTTATTTATATACCGCCTTTCACAGACCAGAGTCACAAAGCGGCTTACATTGGTCTGGTCCCAATATTAGCACGGTGGTCTGGTCCCAGTATTAGCACAGTGGTCTGGTCCCAGTATTAGCGTAGTAGCAGTTTTCAGAGAACAGTTGGTGATATTCTTGCCTGAGCTTTCACGTCCGGTCTGCAAACGATCTGAGCTGTGAAAACATGAGTCAGTGCAGTGTCCCCCTCACATGCTTCAACTCATGGATGTATGATATTATGTGGAAGGTGTTGCTGCTTAAATCCGTCTTGACACTGACACGTGGCCACCCACTGCAGCCTAAATCTACATGGGCTGTAAAGAGCTTTCCCCATAGACCTCAGTGTTCACTAAAACTGCTCGTCCTCGGCTGACAGGGAACCTACAGCTTTCACAAAGAGGGTTTTTAGGGGGATTTTATTTGCCTTTGCCATCATAACTTTTTTTTTTTTTTACCTTGGGTTTTCCATAAATTCACACTTTTGTGACGACATGAGCAAGCGCAGCTGTCTCTCTTTCTGGTCTCTCTTCCTCTAATGTATACAGATGAACAATGCAAACCCAGCTCAATGGAGTCCCATGATGAAGTTTTGCTCCAACTTGCTCTGGCTCTAAAAGCAGATTTTTGGGATTAATAATCTGGTGTTTAGCGCTCTCTGTGATCCTGGTATTCTGATATTGTCTTTATACATTCAGATATGTGCTATTTAATGATTGACCAATCAAATACGTTCATTTGCGAGGGAAACTCTGGTCCCATCTGCCCACGATCTGATGATGTCACTACATCTGGACTCAGGCTCTGGTCCCATCTGCTGCTGACGTCACAGAGAAAGGCCCTGGCTCTATATAAAACATAATTCTCCTCAGTCCGATGTCTCTGCTCATATTGTGACGTCAAACTTTTCCTAGCTCGTGGTCTTGGTTCTGGTTCTATCATTGTGTGCTGTGTGGTGATAGTGACGAGAAAAAGGCTGTTACGGGACACTGAGTAATGGCCTTTTGGGATATGTTAAACTAGGAAGAGACCAGAGAGAGACCAAAGAGGACTCCCTTGAAAAAGAGGTTCTTAATCACAATGGGACTTTCCTGGTTAGATATAGATTAAATAAAATAAATAGAGACAGAGAGAGAGGAATCTGAAAGAGAAAACAAAGAGACCAGACAGAGAATTTTGATTGGTCCATTGTTAGTGCTAATAACTGGGTTCACAAAGACATCATCAAAATAAAAAATCCAGTGTCATAGAGAGCCCTAAACCATTAATTGAATTTAGGGTTCTTTCAATTAGTGAGGAGCTTAAATGCGAGTTGGATAAAACATTCTCTATGAGCAGTTCCCTATAGCAGTTCCTTCATAGAGCTAACCGGTTAGCACAGTCCATCCATATACAGTCTATGGGTAGAGTATGTGACATCACCTGTGTGTCTGCAGCTGTGCGTGGCGGTTCCTTGCCTACCCGTATAATCCGTTGTGTGATTGGCTTTGGACCCCGCCCTGTGTTCCATCACATCTCTAAATGAGCAGCTTACATCTGTCTGCGTAATCTGCTCTCAGAGACGACACAAGAGCAGCGTGCAGTGACAGATGGGGCGACAGCTGAGAGAGAGGGGGCTCCGTCTGTCACTGCAGGACGTACACAAGCCCACCTCCTCCTCCTCTGCTTTAAACACGTCACCTCCTCCTCACCTCACCTCATATAAGTTTGGCTCCAACTCAATCTGGCTCCTATTCACTTGCATGTAAAGGTAAACTTCTCTATCTCAGTAACCGTTTGTGTCACACTCACCATTTTGGGTTTAAATAATCTGTGCTTTAGTGCTCTCTGTGATCCTGGTGTTTATATTGTGATATTGTCTTTGTAGATCCAGATAAATAAATAAATGCCTATATAAGGAAATTGGCTCCAGCTGTGTATCTGCTCACAGAGCTGCACCAAGTATTCATTATATTATTAACCGGTAGTTCAGTATCGGCGAACATGTTGGCAGCATAGACGTGTGTACACGTGTTCACAAGCACTGTGTCCCCAATTGATTCAGATTCATTTTATTTGCCATGTGCAGTATAAAAACCACATTGGAATACATTTGCAAAAAAAGGTACTCTGTGCACCAACAGAATAATTGTCAGCCCTGGTTTAACCCTTGTTTCGTCCTTGTTTATTTATTTAGCTCATGTTTTGGCTGTTTTTGAGTGTCTTCACCTTCCTGTCCCCTTGACCACTTTGCGACTCTCTGCAGTGCACATGAATATTTGCACGTGCGTGTGTCAGATTTCTCTTTCCATTGAAACTCGACACAAAGTATGGTCCGGTGTGAACGCCCTTTTAGACTATGGTGACGTCACACCACTCGGTCAGCCTTATGGGGTAGTGGATGGTCAGAGCGATGGTCCATGCCTGATGTTGGTGTGTGAATGTCAGCTGCTCTCTGGAGAGCGTATGGAGCGTATATGAGACTGTGAGGCAGGATTGTAACCTTTGGAGCTCATGAATATTCTCAGAGCAGAGCCTCCAGCCACATCTGATCTTTGTCATGCACCATGGCCCGAGGTCACGATGTAAAGACTTGTGTACACTGGGGAGAGGACAGAGGAGAGACCAGAGAAAGACCAGAGAGAGAGACCAGAGAGAGAGACCATGGAGAAAGACCAGAGAGAGAGACCATGGAGAATGACTAGAGAGAGAGACCAGAGAAAGCCAAGAGACCAATGAGAAAGACCAGAGAGACTCTGGTCTCTCTCTCTCTGGTCTCTCTCTCTGGTCTCTCTCTCTGGTCTCTCTCTTGTCTAAGATCAGTTCCTGGGCTCTCTTTCTTCTCTAAGGAAACATAAATGGTTCTTTTTATATTCTGCTTTTCTGTTTGTCGTCTGATCCACTTTTGGTCTTCAGCTGCAACTCACACTCCAGACTTTGAACTGAAACGTTTGTGATTTTTGTCGCTGAAACAATGAGCTGTGGAAATAAAAGTCACAGGATGAATTTAACCACTCTGTCGTGTCACAGGAACAAACACAATATCAAAGCAAACTCACAAACAAGTCCCTAAAGTAGACTGATAGTTCTATCTTTAGACAGAGATTGGAACATTGCAAATGTGCTATTGAAATACATGTCCTTACATAAAAAAATAACTGTTGTTGTGCCCTCTGGCAACACACATTACGTTGCATGAAGCATAAGCACTGTCTGGAGTGTTGTCCTTTCGCTGATCTCTCTCTGGTCTCTCTCTCTCTCTGTCTGGTCTCTCTTTCTTTTCTCTCTCCCTGCTCTCTCTCTGATCTCCCCCTGCCTCTGCTCTCTCTCTGGTCTCTCTCTGGTCCCTCTTTCTCTCTGGTCTCTTTCTGGTCTCTCTCTGGTCCCTTGCTCTCTTTGGTCTTTCTCTGGTCTTCTCAGAGCTGTAATGTTTTCTCTCTCTTTTAGGATCTTCCATCTGCTGTGAACGATGAGAAATGAGCCTCAAATGTGAGTCCAGAGTTGGGTTTTTATGAACGTACATTATGTGTGTACCCTGCTGATTGGGTTGTGCGGTATTGAGCAAAAATGTTTATCTCGATATACTTATATAAACAACTCTCCAAAAACTCTCCAAAAAGTACTGCAAAAATAAATACGCCAAATTCCAACACCTTTTTTACTGAACCTCAAAGATGTAGTCAGTTCAAGTAGGAACAAAGTTTTTCCCTCATTTTCCCCCCCCCTGTAGACAAAATTATAATTTAACTGTACAATAAATGAAGAAATTCTACATATTGCCTTCTTTTCATTCAATGATAAAACAAGTGAACTCAAGGTAGGCAGTGCAAAAAGGGAACAAAGTGGTTCTGCAACATTTATGAAAAAAAAAAAACCCTGATTACATATAAATTAAGTAACGTTTGCCATTTCAGCTCTGTGGTGTACAGTCGCGAGAGTTCTTGTATCGCAAAGTTATGCCGACTCGTAATTTGCATCTTGGTATTGTTTTTAGCTGCATATATAGCCATATTGTTCAAAGACGTAGTAGGTGCCACGTCCAACGCTTTTTTCATATTCTACACTCTGCATTTTGTTTTGTCGCCCCCAAGCATAATATGTTATAATCAATCCATGCCTAAGCGGGCGCCACCATGTCGAATGAGACGACACGTTGAATGAGGTGGGAGTGGGCACAGCACAGAGAAGGCAAACAAACAGATCGGCCGAAGAGAAATATAAACATTATATTGATAAATACAATATGTCAAAATTCATATCCAGTTTAGAAATATCTTGATATAGTGTAAATATTGAGATATCTCCCACCCCTTCTTGCTGATGTTACATTGAGAGATTTGTACACAAGCAGAGCTGTTTTAAAGTCTATTCTTTGAGCCACAGGAAACCAGGCCTGAGAACAGGACCAATGTGATCCTACTTCCTGTTTCCAGTCAGGACTCAAGCTGCAGCATTTTGAAAATACTGCAGCTGTTTTACTGTGAACAAGCCATTACAGTATTCTAAGCCACTGGAGACAAATGCATGGAAGAATCTCCTAGTCAGATTCAGATTCATTTATTTGCCATTTGCAGTAAAACCACATTGGAATACATTTGTAACAGTCCCCAGTGTGCACAAGAGAAGTACATAAAACAGCATTAAAAGTACAGAAATAAAACAAATTAAAGCCGCAAGCGGCGTCAAACGGCCCTCGCCGCACCGCGCAAAGGAGGTGGCGCTGACGCGCCATTTTCCTAAAGCCCTGACGAGAGTGACACTGTGCATTTTGAATTCCTATGATCAGTGATTGTGTATCTCTATTGAAAAGGTAAAGCTCATTCTCCCCATGTAACACTTGAATCAGTCTGTAGGGGGCGCTATTGCTGCAATTTCATGATTCACACTTTCAGTTCACTCAAACCCAAGAGTTGAACAATCAATTCAAATGTTGTGCCAATCGGACTTTGTATGTGCAAATGGTGGCATTTAATGTTGTAAAATAGCGCCCCCTACAATTTAAATTTTTGAGTCTTATACCAAAGAATACTAAAATAATACACTTCATGACTGAAAAAAACTTGTGGCAAAGTTTGGTGAGTTTTTGTGTTTGTTAAGTGGGTCAAATATGAGATCAAACTACAGAAATATTATTATGGCTCCACATCATCTCAACACATGTACCTTGAAAATGACTTCGGCGATTTTTCATCAGTGAAACGTTGTTCGAACAGGGGAGCTGCAAAATGTAACATTTTTTGGCCGTTTCGGACAATATTAAGGGTGTATTCAGACCTGAAAAGTCCTTTGCTCCGCTTGCTTGATCCGAATCAAAAGCGGACCAAACTTTTTTCTTTTGCTCCGGTTCGTATTCAGACTGTCCTTTTTGCAATCGAACTTTTTTATATAAACATATTGACACGTGTGACGATCGGCGCTCCTATTGGACAGCGAGAGCTCACGGAGGATAGACGCGGAACCGGCAGAAAACATTGAGGGCTCGTATGTGCAGCATGTCTGCTCTGCCTATGTTTGCTCTTTTTAGAGCAAAACCACCTTCAACAGCAGCTCATATGACACAGGCCAAACACGTTGTTTTAAATATTGGAACAGCATCGGAGAATGCGTGAGGAGAAAGCCGAAGGAGACTGTCTGTGCGCTCCGTGTCCTGTCCCACACATGGATCTATGATAATAACGGCCCTGTTCAGCATTGTGGATAAACCATGGATCTATAATAACCACGGGACAAACAGACGCTGAGGATCAGGTAGGAACCAAAGAACACAATTCACTACATGATGCGGGATATTGCTCTTTGAGACGTGAGTCAAACAGTGTCAGGCTTTTAATAATGCAAATGGTTTGAAGATGCTGCCATTAACATCAATGTATACTGTGAACAGTTGTAACTCCATAAGTCTGTTGCACAGCGTCTCCTCACTGCTCCAGGTCTGCCCACGGCTCATTGTTGTTGTGTAGCGTTAGCATCATAGTTAGCATCATAGTTAGCAGCATAGTTAGCCGCTGCATGGCTAATTCCTCAGTTTCTGTCTGCGGCTTGTTAAGCCCAAAAAATGCGCACGTATCTTGGAGTTGTGTTGGATCGACACCGGATGTATTCAGACCTGATTCGACTTGGACCAGAATTTGTTTGGAAGCGGACCGAGACCACCTCAAAAAGTGGGTCTCGGTTCGGTTCTTTGGTCCGGACCAGGATTCGTGTGTGTGTATTCAGACCTGCATAAAAGCTTCGGATCAGAGTTCCAAACGAATCCTGGTCCGTTTAAAGTGGAGCAAATGTGCAGGTCTGAATACACCCTAAATTTGCTCCCGTTTGCACATACAAAGTCTGATTTGCACAAAACTTTAATACATTGTTTAACTCTAGGGTCTAGGTCATTTGAAAGTGAAATAAAAAAACTTGGCTCATTAGTGCCCCTGCAGATGGAGTCAAAGTTTTCAGAGTTTTTCATACTAAAAACTCTGAAATAGTCTGTAGGGGGCGTTAATGAGCCAAGTTAAATTATTTCACTTTCAAATGACCTAGACCCTAGAGTTGAACCATGGATTCAAGTTTTGTGCAAATCGTAATTTGTTTGTGCAAACGGGAGCAAATAGAATGTTGTGAAAAACGGCCAATAAACACTCACATTTTACCGCTCCGCTGCTCAAACGACGTTTCACTGATCAAAAATCCCTTTGGTCATTTTGAAGGTACATGTGTTGAGATGATGTGGAGCGATTTTGAAGCAAATCGGTGAAACGGCCGAGGAGGAAAAGATTTCCAACCGACATGTATGAAAATTCCATCCATCCATCCATCTATCCATTTTCTACCCTTTAATCCATTTCTGGGTCAGGGGGGTGACAATCAGAGATACCACCCAAGTCTCATAGCACCAGCCCCTCACTGACCCTCTGCAGGTGGTGAGTCCACAGGAGGACGGCTGCTCTCTGAGTGTGAGCATAGCCTTGATCTTTCAGTGGGGGCTTTGGGCAAAGTGGGGTTAAGTGTCTTGCCCAAGGACACAACGACAGCAGCCATCAGTGGGAATCGGTTGAGAAGGTGTAGAGGTGGGAATTGAACCCACAACCTTCTGGCCTTACGGCCAATGCTCTACCAACCAATGTATGAAAATTATTGCGGATCATTTTTCCATTTTGCAGTGAAATTTATGGGCCTCCTGTTTGTCAGAGGGCGGAGCCATGATAACATTTTGGTTGAATCTTGACTAGAGGAACATGTGTACCGCATTTCATGGCTCTACGACAATCTTGACCTCTGAAACTCCCATTGGCTGTTGTAGGTGGCGCTGTTCTGGCATTTTTTGAGTCCCATAAAAATAAACACCAAAATATAGAATTTTTCACCAGGTGTGATGTTTGGGCAAAATTTTACAACTTTTCATGCATGTTCAGCGGGTGAAATTAAGGCTCAAAGTGCAGAATTTGACATCTCTCGAGCAAAAACAATAGGCCCTTTCCCCGTTCGGGGCTCGGGCCTAATAAAACAGTAAACAATTGTCGCTGTGAAACTGATTGACTAAAACAGTTTCAGTTCAAGTGCAAGATCATGAAAGTGCTCTGTTCAAACTGATAACAGCTTGTGGAAAGAAGCTGTTATCGTATCGAGATGTTCTGCATCTCAGCGAATGATGTCTTCTGCCAGAAGGAAGAAGCTGGAACATGACTTTTCCAGGGTGGCCAGAAGAGTCATTGATTATTCTAAGGCCCCGTCCACACGTAGCTGGGTATCTGCTAAACCACCTGCCATCCACGTGACAACGCATCATAAACAAATATATAAAAAACCTCCGGGCAAAGTGGAGATTTTTGAAAACTCCGTTTGTGCATTAGCGTGTAGACAGAGATAACCGGAGTTTTGAGTTTTCGCACGTCACAGTATGCCCCCAAAACAACTACAAACAACTGTTTGCGACCTCTGATCACTGAGGAAGCATGGCTCTTACTGCCTTAAAAACGGTTCACTGATGCGAGCGGTTCACAGTAGCGATCCTCACTCCACATCATAGAGCAGCAAAGTGATCACTGGGACTCACGCTGGAAAACAACCAAAACAGGAGCTAAACCAGGATTAAACCAGGGCTGAGGACTGGGGTCAGTGCTCGTAAACATATGTCTTCACCCTGACTTTCTTCTGTGACTGTAAAAGTGCCGCTACAGGATTACCGGCTTCAGTATCAAAGCTCCGCCCACTTCTGTGTTTTTCCCCCAACGCAGGACGTCAGAGGACTGAAAACGCAGATGTTCGGTTATGTGTGGATGCAAATTGTTTTCTAAAAGGAAGGGGGGAAATATTCGGTTTTAAAAATACCCGGCTACGTGTGGACATGGCCTAAGTACTCAGTTTAAAAGTCTGGATTTATAAAGAACCTCCAGAACAGGCAGCTCACACAGTCCTCTTTGCAGAGCGGAGCACCTTGTTTAGAGCTCTCCTGTCTTAGAGTTAGTGGTAAATTCTCTA